TCAATGACAGCCGTGAGACAATGTGCAAAGTCTCAAGCAGAGCTCAAGTGGTCAGTGGTCGAATAAAGTACTCTGACAGTTGTGCAGTTGGTGCAGAAAATCGTTGCGCCATGATTTAAGTGAGCGGCGGCAGCAGCTAATTGGAGTGCAACACTAGGTGCGCAATTACACAAAGTCCTTGAGCGCTTTCAAGTGCCTGTTGCCGCGGAATATAGATCAGTGACGATAGTTCAAGTATGTGCAGAGCTGGAGCTACGATGATGATTGCGGTCACGCCGTTTCATCTACGGTGGCCTATGGAAGTTGTTAGCAATCAGTAGTTGAGATGAATCTAGTTTTTGTTTATTGTCATTGTCAAAGAAAGGCAATCTGGAGTGCCGAGAGCAGCATTTTCTAAACGGGGCCGATTACACGATACAACTTAACACCTAATAATTGGCTACACTTTTGTAACATGACAACTTCACGTGGGCTGTTCTGAGCGTTAGTGGGTTAAAGGTGCTTCAGGTGTTTGTTTTGAGAATTGCGTGGCTGGGCCGAATCAACTCCTTTCGAGGGCTCGATGTGGCCCACGAGCCTTAGGTTCCACGGGCTGTAATTTGCCTACTTTGAGCAAACGAAGCGTTCGGGGCTCTTTTTCAGCAGGCTGGGAGCACAAATAACCGCGACACGAATCAAAATAGAAGCCCGCCTTTCAGAGAGTCAAAATGAACTAAAAATCACACCGAATATGTCAAGTCAGTAGGGCTTACCTTCGTATTATTCCCAGGAATCGGCACGACATCTTTGGTTGCAAACAAACAAAAAGTCAACTAAGTAAGTTAAAAGAGTTTTTTTTTAAAAAAAAAAGGCAGAGCAACAGCGAGCTCGGAGGCGAGGGATGGCAGCGGTTGGTCAAAGTTGGTCGCGGCTCATATCTCTACTCGGAGGGGACCTTGCACTTTGCTCTGCGTGAACATTGACGCCGACACATTGATGTCAGCAGCGAGCTGGATGTTTCAGTCGACCTCGTGGCTAAGCAGACAGACGACCCCCCCCCCTCGCGTCCTCTTTGTGACAGTCGGCCGGAGCTTTTACAAAGAGTCCAAACGCACCCGCTCTTTTCGAAAATGAACGAGAGCTCAAAAGGCGTCCGCGAGCGGGTTGCTTCCGCGCAGGTTGAGTCCTCATTGGCGTCTTTTGGCTTTCCTTTTCGCTCCCTCCCCCCCGACTCGGGTCGAACCGGCGGCTGGCTGGCTGACGCAAGTTTCCAGAGTTCCTACAGCAGAACGTCGTATAGGAAAAGAGGCCGAGAAGCAACGTATACGCGCTTCAACCCGGAAGTGGATCTTCAACATGGGCGCAAAAGAAAAACTTCTGGCAACAGGCACCGAATACGACACGCCACGCTTGCTAACCGGTTTTTAGTCATCGTTGCGGTTTTGTCCTGTCACGGCGTGTGGGTTGTTTTGGGATACTCAAAATGCTTTTCAGGAAGGGGGGGGGGGGGCTTCACGTTGCCTAATGTCCTTTCCTAATGCTCACGTAAACCTGTAAAGATACGGCAACAATGACCCCAATATTTGGGATTTTAAAGATATGAAGCCTTTTCCTCCCCATGCTCCAGGGATGGGCTTCAGCATTGCTACTGAGAGAGGTGCCTCGGGCCACTAACTTGCCAACAAGATGGAGACAAAAATGCCATTTTCAATTTGGACAAATGACGTGTCGGCCCATTGAGAGTGAAAATCCACGTCGAATTGGATAAAAACGTATGATGGCAATGGAAATTCACTGGGAAAATTGATTAGAAAAAAATAAGAAGCTGATAAACCTCCGATATGCGTTTTCCACAAAACCCGGGCCTTCTTCCCCAAGGAATGAATGCCGGCATGGGGCCGCACGCAGCCCGCGAGCCACCAGTTGCCCATCCCTGCCATCGATGCTCACAATATTGAAAACATTTCTCCTGGGAGAAGCAAAATGTACTGTTGGGAGACCAAGCGGTAGGAAGTGTCCGGGGGGGTGCAGGCAGAGGAATATACAGTAGATAAGAAATAAACACGCAACTTCATGGCTGTGTAGAATTAGTCGGCGCAACAAGAAGATCGCAACTATTCTGTGGTGCCGTGCAATAGCTTTCTTCTGAAAAAAAGCGCCCTTTTGACAAAACAACAATTTCTTCTTTTCAGACTAGTTGTGCAGTGTTGTCCATTGCTTTCAGAATCGGTTGTGCTGGTCTATGAAGCTTGAACTCAATGAGCAACCCGACAGCGTTTTTAGACAATCCGATTTCAAATCGGCATACTTGCTAAAGGCTGCAAAACCACGAAACCAACAATGCTCATAGTATACTCAACATTTGTGCCACCGCTTTCTTTTTCCCATATATTCAGAATGACGTCATGAAAACTGAAACGGCAGAGATACCCATGACCTGCTCACCATCATCTTTGTGATTTAATCAGCGTGTAACTAGGAAGGGATGATCAAATGTCCCATTGCGGTTACATTTGTGCAGCATATTTCTCAAGCACACCGACACCCGTGGCAAAAAAATGAATGAATGAATAAATAAAAGATTTTGAATCAGCCCTTCAGTCAAATCAAAGAATCAACAACTAATGGTCCTCTCATGTCGGTGTAAGCAAGTACAACCTTTACCCTTTGGATCCAGCCATGACTAAGAACACACATTTAATGAGTGACTTATTAGGTGACACGTCTGACATTTCATTTTAAATTCACCTTATGTTGTCCTGCACAGTTTAACAAGTGCAAAGGTTGTCGAAGATGTACAAACAAACGGCGGCAGTGTTCTAAAAATTGTTATTCAAGTGTGGCGTTTGAAATGCTTCTGGCGCTCCGGAGTGTCATTCTTCGCCAGTGCCATCACTGAATTGTACCCAGAATCAGAATCGCCTTTATTGTCATTGTATAGAATACAACGAAATTTGGGTGCCACTCCTTAGTGCATTCGTAAAAAAAATAAAATTGAATAAAATAACGGTTTAATAAATACAAAACTCAACAACACACAACAGCAGCAGCAGCAGTAGTGGTAGTGTGGACTGAGGCTTATATTGCACGCAGGACACATATTGCACATGAAATGAAATGGCTCAGATATTGCTCGAACCCTTACATAATGAACACCGCAACGTATCGTCGAAAGAGCAGTTTCTAACATTTGCACTCCGTAGGTCAAAACAAGCAAAATATTCGAAAGAGCGGTCAACCAAAACAAGCACGTAAATATGTTTCTTTCCGAATTTGTATACATTGTATGTAGCCCGAAGGATCAAAGCTCCGAAAATGGATCATCTTATTTTGATTACGGCTGGAGAACACGATTCGAGTTTTGACGAACAGGTTGGAGGAGGAGCAGGAAGAACAGCGTCCGTCTCAACTACAAGTCCCACAATGCACTGGCGACGTGGAATGCGGAACCCCCGTCAACTATTGACTTTCGTTTTCGTTTTTAACGCTGAGTAATTGTGGCTTTGAATTACAACTCAATGTGAGGATTCGTTTGCAACTGCCCTCAACTTTAAACAAAGCCATAAGACTCCATTTTGAGCGTGTTCCCGACGTCAGAAGCGACATGGCCGCTTGGGATATTTGCACCGAGACGAAGCAGCAGGTAGGCTCGGGCTGTTTATCTCCTCTGTACTGGATAAGGAGGAGGAAGCCGTTTAGAGTGCGCAACTTGGACGAGCTAAAGTGAAACTTGATAGAGCCGCGCGGCGCGGGGTCTTGTAAGGTGAGCGGGTAGCGGTGGCCCGTTTCGAAACTTGTCGTCACGGGAGCATGGAGCCGACAAAAGGAAGATACTTGACATGACTTGTTTCATCGCAGGTGGACGACTTCGCCAAGAAACTCGCCAAGGAGGTAAGTAAGAGGGCAATACTGTCAAGGAATTCACGAAGTACAGTATATGACGCGTCTCCTAAGGATAGGGCCAAAAAGCAATTACTTTTCTCCTGGGGAGGGGGATGGGGGGGGGGCATATTGGGACTGACCCGTAGTATCGATTTGTGGGGTTAAAAATAAATAAATAGATAAAATGTCTGTCAAAGTAAAAGTTGGAATCGTGATTCATTACAGAAAATGTTGCAATTAATTAGTTTTAAAAATGTGTCGCTTGACAGCACTCTATAGCTCACTTTTTTTCTCCTGTATTAAAAAAAAAAAGGCAGAAGCGCTCGTCTCAACATTTTTCCCTCAGAAGATGGAAGAGCTGCAGGTGCTCCTGAAGGTTAGTGTTCAAATAGATCGTACAAGAAACAAACACTCGAGACAAACTGCAAAAAGTTCTAATCTATTCTCGAAACAAAAAGGTATGGCCAGTATTGTGCGACGTGTAAAACGAGTGTCCAAGACCAATTTACCGTGAATGTCTAGATACTGAACGTAAACTGATGTGTATGCAAGTGTCGGACGTTTCGGTTGATGAGTTCACATCTCAAATCATCGGCACCTTCAAGTTATCGATTTTCGTGTTGCCATCAGACCTCTTTCAGTTATCGTGACCAGGCGTTCCCAAAGGCACCGCTGGATATCCCCATCCCAGATCCTGTGAAGGAGGAGGCCAAACGTAAAAAGAAGGAGGAGGAGCAAAAGGAGGTCGGGAGCTGCCATCGGGGAATAATACGGGGGAGGATATGCAAACAAAATACACCTGTTACCTCAGCAGCCAATCGCTGCGCTGGCGAGAGATTCAAAGAAAACAACAGCTTCGCTTCCTTTTGTTGCAGAAGGCGGCGGAGAAAGACAAGGAGGAGGACGGCGAGGATTCAGGTGAATACGACCTTCAAGTCGGGGGCCACAAGCGGGAGTGGACGTCTCTTAGCCATTCCGCAGCTTCTTGCAAAACATTTGGGCTCAGCAGAAAGTTGCTGGGCGCCATCGTCAGCCTCAATAAACCCGAGTCCAATTGTGCATCAGGGCCTCCTTGCGGTCCCGTCTGCTGCAACGAGCGAGTGGAGGTGCTCCTGAAGGAGGTCAAGCCTCAGCTGCAGACGCTGAAGGAGAAGATCAACACGGTCAGTCCCAGCAACGGCATTTGGCGCCACCTTCGCTCGTCTTGCCGACATGCGCGCTTGAAGGCGAACGAACGAAAATGAGAAAAAAGGCAACTTTTTCAAAACGGCACCCTCCTTATTCATTCAATTACGAGACGTAGTCCCTCTTCGTATGATCTCTAGGGGTCCTCAATCATTTTTAAACAATGGAATTGCATTTTGTTCAGACCATGAATATTGTATTTCAGGTCTGTTTCTTTCTTGCCACTGTTTACTGGTTAGATCATTAAAAAAAAAAAAGATGACTTAAGAAATTAGAAATGCATTCCCCGTGTCTGATGTCATACTTCTTCTTGCCAGCATCTGTGGGTATTCATTTTAGCGTTTTTTTTCCCGCACCTACAAATTAAATAATTTTTCATTCACATTTGTTTTTTTTTTTTTAAACAGATGCTTGGAGAGTGAAATTATTTTATCTGTCGTGTGGTAAATTAGGTTTTGAAAATTAAATCGCTATTTGTTGTCTTGTGCGTCTGCGTTGATACAAATTCAATTGAAATGAAATCATTTTCTTTTTCCTGCGGGTGACTGTATTCGAATCAAGTTGTTGGGTTTTTTTTTCCACTGAGGTATTTATTTATTTTTTTTTTTAAGTAATTATTGTAGGAGTCCGTGGATTCCGTCCCCCCCTCCCCCCGATTGTCCGATGCGAATACGAACGTTCTGACCTATTCTTGCAGGTCTCTCATTATTTTTGGAAACCGCTTCGCGTGTATCGTTTGTATAAATGTCAGTGGAATTATTTCTGAGTATCCGATTTTTCTTGCAGGTGACCACGTGGATCCAACTTCAAATTCCCCAAATTGAAGACGGGGACAACTTTGGAGTTGCAGTGCAGGTCGTTCACCGATAAGCGGTCGAGTGACTTGATCGCATTCCAATTGGTGTGCGTGCTTAGTTCAGGCTCACGTTGGTTCAAGTATTTTGGCTCCTGTGTACCATTAGGAGAAAGTGTTTGAGATGCTGACAAGCTCCCGCAGCAAGGTCGAGGGATTCCAGACTCAGATTTCAAAGTAAGCGCACCTCCTTGAAGCCGTGTTTGCACTCCTGCTCCAAGAGTGGATTTTTCTCGCCTATTTGTCTTTTTTCGTGAATGTATTTTTGTCGCGGACCGTATCCATCAGTGGTTTAGAGCCGACTTACTTCCCGCGATACCCTTGCGCGTGGAAAAAGAGAGCCACAACAAGCCAAATTCAAAAAAATAACGTCGTCGGATTTTCTTTCCGATCGAGTCCATCGTGTGACAAGGCGTCGCCGGAAAAAAGGACGCGAGCTGGGTTTCCTTTCGGCGGCGCCGAGAGCTGCACACGCGGCGGTCTTTGCCAAGTCAATGCTGACCATTTGATGCTGTCAGTCTTGCGAGTCGATTTTCAACACGCAGTTGGGCGTTCTACCCGCTTTTCGGCTTAATCGCTTTCTATGTAGGCGGCGAAGCCGCTCAAGGGGAAAAGGCTCCGTCGCATAACATAACCACTGGCATTTCAAAAGCGTGTCATGACTGGAGTGCTCAGCGACCAAATGCCCCTTGTCCGCATTCCCAAGTCAAACGAGGGAGTATACAGACAGAGATTTCTCTGTCTCTTTCTCTCTCTACCTGAAGGAATTTTGCCCTGTCTTTCAGATATTACAGCGAGAGAGGCGATGCGGTCGCCAAAGCGTCGAAGACGCCCCACGTGGTCAGTACTTGCTTTTGTCCCGAACGCGTGCTCATTGCACCTTGGGAACTTGACCTGTTAAAGAAGTGTCATTTTCTGGGCGTCGATTACCTTGTTGCGCGCGCTCTGCAGGGAGACTACCGGGAGCTGGTTCACGAGCTGGACGCCACCCAGTACTTGGAGCTCCGTCTGATGGTACTGGACGCCTGCGCCACATACGTAAGAGCCGACGTTGACGGCCGCCTTTGAATTGACGACTGCGTCCGTGCACATAGGCCAGTTATCGCTCGCGCTGTGCGTTTCTGATGATGTCGGAGTCTCCTCTGATTAAAATGTTGAGGGTAGCCTATCAAACCAAACGATGTCGCCGTCCTGCCTCCAAACTTCTCATGCGCCCGGACCCTCGCTTCTCCCCCGCCAGGCCGCGCTCTATGACATCATCAGCAAGAATTACGCCAAGATCAAGAGGCCCCGAGGAGACTGCAGAGCTCTCATCTACTGAAGAGCCCCGACACGCGCACTCGCGAGATGCACTCGGCACTCTGTGGCACGATGAAGTCGAGACGTGATACCCTGCCGCTCAACGGAACACGTTTCGCAATATGTTGCCAAATAAAATTGCAATCCTTCTTGCAGTCTGCCTCGACTTTGTTTCACTTTACTATACTGTACAGTGGTGGTCCCCAAACTACAGCCCATTCATAAATAACGGTTTTTATTTCGTGCAGAGAGATTTTTTTTCCTTCCCCTGTCAAGATCCCAGACAGGGTTCATTTTTGCTTACATCTGCAATGGTCACCTCTTTTTGTTAGAAAGTGACCCCGGCCACCCACCGGAGAAGGGAAACGTTTTTTAACTCTCACAGGAAAAAGTTGGGAAAGGCCCCCGGTATACAGTATGGTGACATGTTAAGTCTATTAGGAGATTTTTTTATTTTATTTTAGTGACTATCAATATTTTTCATTATTTTTCCTTCCTCCTCCATTCAATGTCATTCAAACGACTGAAGATTCGGGTGACAATTGTCTGGCAGTGTGACAAGAATCTCTGAACTGTGTCAATCAGTGACCCAAAAGCATCTCAAGGCAACATTTTCAGCTCTTGAGCAGTGCCAACAACGATTACATTCGTCTCCGCGTAGAAACTTGTAACGGTTTGTAATTAGAAGGTCGGGTATCCATCCCCGGGCCAACCCGGACCATGGCAACTCGCTTTGCGTGTGAACCAACCTTGATTGAGGCCTGTGCGGTCCAGGTAGCCCACATCTCCTCCCGGCTGCAGGCCTGGGAACTTCGGAACGTGTGCCAGAACAGAGCAGCAGGAACACCCGGACGGCTAGAAGAAGCACACACAGGAGGAAAATGAACCTCGGTGGAACATTCTTGGCCAGATTTCTCCTCCTTTTGGCGGAGGTTATGTTTGAATGCGGACAATTCCTCAACAAGCTGGAGGCAACACAAGCTGCGTGCGTGCGTGCGCCCGTGTCTGACAGTTTTGAAGTCAAGCACATGGTTGATAAAGATACAACCCCTCTGGCCCCCTTTTTATCTGTTATGCCACCCACCCTCTCCACTCTAAGTCCAGCAGAACTTGAATTCTGAAACGTACTTAACACAATCGTTAAAAAAAGTCAATCTTCATTTTAATTTTGGGGATCATTTTTGTGAAACCTGCATTTACTTTGCATTAACTCAAACTTTTATGCTGTCAAAAAGTTGTCACAGGCTCGCTAAAGTTGGAAATGATCGCTAAAAAAAGTTTCAGATGAGACAAACTCAATTCTTGCGGATGGGGAATTTGTTGCATCATCTTGTTAATGCTCCCTGGTTCACATTCCTCCATGTCACTGTTGTCAGTTTTTTTTCCGGCGTTTCCCCCACGACGTCAATTAATCAAGTCACAACTATAGTTGACTTCACTTCACTCTATTTCCATCTCTTATACTTCAAGGGAGTTTTAAAAAGGGTCCGACAGAGTAGAAAGCACAGTTGGTCTGTTTTCAAATGTATGGACTAAAAGAAACGTTTTTAGAAATATGAATAAACGAGTACAACACAAAAGAAGAAAAAAATCTACTCAAGTGCAGTTATTTCCCACCACTGAAAGGCAGCGATTCTTTATACAGTACCTGCAAATGGGCTTCCTCTGTTAATTCAATGTGCGGCATGAAAAGAGGCAACATTAAGTCGCCTCGGTCTGTCACCAATCGAGTTCTTCCATACTTAAGGGTCGTCTGTTCCACTCATTTTGGAGATAAACGATTGCCCGTGTTTCATTTGGGGCCTCGGAACAGCTGCGTTCTCTCACAAACACTTTGTCATGATTGAACACATTTTTTGGGGGGGTGCTCGCTTCAAATACAAAACGGTCTTAGCTCATTACTCAACGTGTGTCTGAGAAACGGGCCAAATGATTGCTTCCTACCTTGATGAACATCCGGGCATGAAGCCAAAACGAAAGCCGACATGCCAAAGAATCGCAGGTCTCATTTTAGAGCTCACCGTTTCCATTAGAATGTCTTTCAAGTGACTTTGGAAGTTGGTTGGAGCTTTTGCTATTCAATTATTCACATGCATGAAGATACGCCTCGATCCACGAGCTGTGTCAAAAAAGAGATGCATTCAAGGAACAGGGTTTCTTTGGGGTGGTTTGCTGTATTGGGACGGATTGAGAGCCACCCGAAACATTTGGTTCCCTTCACAATGTTAGGAAGAAACCAGAAAATAGTACGATTCGGAGTTTAAACCAAATGATGGAAAGAATGATTGCATTTTTTGTGATGCTACCATACGTTCCAGTGTCAAGATGTTTATCGGCGTCCGAATCTGTGCCCCTCCGGGTCAGTTTGCATTTTTGCAGGGTTTTTTTTTTCTCTGAGTGCTGCAGTTTGCTCGGACGTTGAAGTCTCTGGTCAAATCTCTTTTCTTCATTTGAAAGCTCCTCGGTCCTCTATCCCGCGTTTACATGTTAGCACCTGCCGAGACTGGACGTTAGTCAATGACGTCATTTCAGGGAGACGGCAATTGGGAACCATGACCAAAAACTGCCCGATTGAGCATCACCGACAGTCCAAAAAACGAACTAAACTCTGTCTATGAATGAATTTAACTTGTGTCCAAAAACATTAGCCAGAAAGATAAGTCGAGCATTTCGCATATCCGTAACTACGTTCTTCCAAATTTTAATTTCACATCCCTGCAATGTCATTTCATTTCCAGAACTGCCAACAATTCCGGATTGCCTGTATTTTCATTCGGAAATCACTGACCATTTGCTCGTTGTGTCTGTTTGTTCAGGAGATTGAAAAATTAATAATAACTGCACCACAAAGTAGTGAGGGAACGCTGTAATCATAAAAATGCAACTACTACAGCATCAACATGAACACACCAGTCGGTGGTGATCGGTTGACCGCTCCGCCTCGACTTCAGCCTTGGTGTCCATAACATGCGACCGCAAGTCCGATGACACGAGCACGAGTCGATCATTAAACTGCGGCCTAGTGCGTCTTGGAGCCAAGTGCACACATGGCCACCCATAAACTTGAACATGGTGTCGGGACAATCTGGGTAGCCGTTGCCAAGATGACTGCCTGGCGACTTGGGGAATCCAGTTCTGGATTATTCGTACTGTGGTTTGTCTGGTCTCTTACCTCTGACCTGTTTGCCCCTAGCCAAATAAAGCCCCTGAGAAATTAGCTGCTGGCATCATTGGGACACAAAAATCCCTCCCCTGCCATGGATGACAAGTGCATAGAAAGCAAACAGAGACCCAAGTGAGGGTTCTAACTATACCCCCGCCAAACTGTGTTGAGTAAAATTTGCCCTTTGATACAAGTGGCAGGAAATTGCGAGAGCAAATCACTTTGTAGTTGTTCGGCACGCACACACTGGATTGATCATCGGACAGAATTATGAACACCCATTTTATTCATGTTTACCAAAGTGTATTTTTAAAAATAATTCATTTGTCAACAGCTGGTTTCTGACCGGGGATCCACAAGGAGATTTGTCCGCGATGATTTAAGGACAGAATTCAAGCGCACATCTAATGCAGGCATTGTGCACTCACAGGCGCACGAAAGCTTTGAATCGGAAACTTTTCTCTTTTGGGCAGAATCTGGCCCCTCCAAAAACAGACGGATTTTCCACACACTTGCGACTGAGCGTCTGCGGCGATAGAATACTGTACAACTGATACGGAATTGCCTGTCATTTTCTCCTCACCGTGTTCAAATATGGTTTCACTTGCAAGCGGAGAAGCTCAATCGTGAAGTCGATTCAAGGCTCGGCTTGGCACCGAAGAGTCAGAGGCCAGAAGGGAAAAGGTTGGGCTTGTGACAAAAGCAAGCGTCGAGGTTTCTGTCTCTCGATGGTGCCCGAGCATCTCCCTCTACAATTGTGATCGTGACAGCCATTGGGGGTGGGGGTGCGGTGGGGCGGTATGCCGCGGGCTTGGGGGCTCCTTCTGCAACGCCAAGGATTTGTTGTGTCCTCCCTCTTCCGCCGGCTCCCGGCTGTCATTCTCTCTCCCGCTCCTCGTCCAGAGGGTGCGTTTGCCGATGCTCCCACATTTGCACAGCACAGTCCCACTGCGGACGCATAAAGCAGAAGTGGACTTCTTACTGGCTTCTCACAGCTCATTCATTCCAGTACTTGAGTCCTTTTTTCAAGTGTATGTGCCGTAATTTAAGTTGGTGAGGGACTGCCAGGTCAGAAGGGATCATTTTTCCCAATTTGGGGGAAAGCCTCAATCGCCTGAAAAATCGGCCCGTATTACGGGTCACAATGGAAGAGCATGAAACCGTTTATCCCATGCTCACGTGCCAATGTAAAAAAAAGAATGAAGAAAAAACCCTACCAATTTATCATTTGATATGCTTTGTCGTCAAAATGCAAAGTCTTGCTCCAACCATGTCTATCTATTCCCTCGCAACGCCTGAAGGCTTGAGTATGAGGAGTCAATCTTCCTACACTGGGGGTGTAACAAAAAAAAGATGGCAATCGGAAAATCCTTTTTCATTTAAAATATATGAGTGCAATGAATCAAAAGAAATGAAATGATTCCACTTTAACATATCAAGATATGGAAAAAAAATCGAATCAAATCGAGATACGAAGTGACATACGTTTCAAGGCGTCTTTTTTGGAGAGATTTCTGCCTCTAACACATAGATGACATCAGGGCTACAAATACGTATCGCAACAGCGGTCACAGTTCGGAAGGGGGATTCTCCCATCTGCGGCCCCTTCTCAAGGGTTCTCATTTTTCCCCAAGTCTTTCCTTGCCCTCCTGGGGGTTAAGTTAAGGTCGGGGATGTCGTGAACATTTGTCAACTGTGGCCATGTGGAGCCCATGCCCATCTTTTTGTGGTTAAGAGCTGCAGAAATAAATCTGGAACTTGACTTGCCACTCACAGAGCTACTGATGATGATGTCTTCGTACGGGTGCCAAGTGACGTCCCTCACGCAGGCACCGTGACCCAACAACTTAGAAACCACAGCGCCCGTCAGCACGTCGTAGACTGTGCTAGGACACATGCAAGAAAGAAAAAAAAAAAAAAAAGAAGAGATGATACACTCCGCGAGCGAGACCGCTGCTCAAAAGAGAGCTTTCACTCACTGACAATCTTGCCGGTGGAGCACCCGGAGTAAATGAATCTCTGTCCCGTGCTGAACTCGGGTGAGAAACGGCACCGGATGAGTGTGTGCAGGACGCCGTGGCCTCGGTACGTCATCACCGAAGTGTCGCCGGCCAGCTTGTGTCGCCTCAGGGCTGCGACGGAAGAAGGCGCAGAAGAAAAAGTCACGTCCTGCTTGAGGACACGTGAAAGGAATCACAGAATGGCGCCGCACTGAAGGATGACTCAAGTGTATGTGGCCAACTTAGAAAGGGAGCGAATGAAATCTTTTTAGCATCAACACACTTCATCAACGTCCTTGAGCACTGAAAAATTGCAAGCGAGAAATGGATCGCAAATGCCGTCGTCATTGTCGCACGTGCCTTGGCTCATTCGATGCTAACGACGACTCAAGACGTCCATTCGAATCCAAACATTCAGTGCCAAGGTGATGAGGGCCCTTGAACTTGCAAGCACTTTGAGGAGCGTGACTAAGCCGAAGCACCAGCGGAGGCTTTTTTTGTTTGTTGGTTTTTTTAAGTAGACGTCTCCAAGAAATGGAGATTGAGGAGCGTCGCCTCAAATGCCCAAAACCTTTCTAGACTTCAGTTCAGTGAGAATCTAGCAGACTCGATCCACAAGTGTCGGTCTGATGAAGAGTACCAGTGATTTGAAAAAGTGTAAGATAAGGAGAGAACCTGGAATCTACTGTGCAAAAAAAAAAAAAAAAAAAACCCAAGTGGGATCATTTCTACTCGATTGTAGTTTTCTTTGGTCTTCGACTGCGCGTACATTTTCTTACCACTTGCATGACAGTGAATAATGTCACATCACGGCAGGGAAAGGACGGCTCGTGTGTTTGGAGGTCGGCTGCACTCGACATACATACCTCTTTGGGGAACACGCTGCCAGCGGTAATCCCAATTCTGCTGGGTGACGGCCAGGCGCGAGGCCGCCAAGCCCTCCTTGGGCGAGAACTTCCTCACGTCCCAGAGCTTGATGGACTGGTCCTTCGAGTTGCTGATCAGATAGCGCGCATCGCCCTGCCACGGTACGAACGGTGACAATGGAGGTTGGATGATTGATGCCACATGAGGATTTGCGTGTCCGCTGTCGACAATGCACAATTATCAACCGCAAAACAACAACACCTTTACGTCGTTTGACTCGGCGGAAGAGCCGGCCGGGGCCAAGTATTATGACAAAGTCGGATGGTCGAGCTCTCTTGTTTTCTGCGCGCAGCACAGGTGGGCCGAACCCGGGACCGGTCGCCAGCCTTTCAAAATCACATTTGCATGGATGGAATTTTTCGAGCGGTTTGGCCGGATAACATTTTGCTAACCGATTAATGATATCAGACCGATTTATTTATCTTAATTGGCCCATTCATGAAAAAAAAAAAGATATACAATGGCTACGTTCCACTTTTTGGTTCCCTTAACGCTTACACGAATAAAGATAAGAATGACAAGCGCAACATTTGAATGTTGAACTTCACAACAGAGAGAAAGAAGGTTGCTTTGGGTGTTTAATGTGGTTTTTGGGTGTTTAATGTGTTTTTGTTTTTTTTAAGACTTGTGATAAGCTCCCAATGAACTTCTGCCGGTTCTTTTATAGTCAAAGGCCGCTAAGGTAACACTAAGTCCCCCCCCTCCCCCAGCGTCCAGGCGGTCTGGGACCCCCGCCCGTACCTTGCTGTGGATGAAGGTGATGCCGTCCCGGTGTCCCGCCAGCTGTCCCACGGGCTGCGGCCGATCCTCCCGCAGCGTCCTCCTGTCCCACACTTTGCAGAGTGCGTCGTCGCTGCCGGAGAAGAGCAGCTGGGACGAGCTGTCGGCGAACGCCACCGCATTCACGTCATCCTCATGGGCATCAATCTGCCAAAGGAGAGAGAAAAGCGACACGTTGGAGAGGAGCAAAAAAAAAAAAAGAAAAAGACGTGTTGGTGTGGTGATCCCAAGACGGGGTGTAGGTGTGATCCCCAAACTACCAACTTGATATTTCTTTACTTTTTGTCTTCCACTTTCTCCCTTTGATCTTTTTTCCGCTGTCAATTGGGAATTTCTCCATGGTGAGACAAATAAAGGTTTGCTTATCTGATCTTCTGAGTAAGTACCACACGCATCAGAGCGAGTCTCGGCTCACTTTGACTCGACAGACAGAGTGGATGCGACCCCCAAGCACTCACCTTCAGTGTTCTTTTATTCTGCTCGAGGTCAAAGACATAAAGACAGCCGTCATTTGCTCTGAATGGAGAGGAGGAGGAGAGGAGAGCCAACAAACTCGTGTCACGCGTCAGTCTATTCATTCACAAGCTCCTTGTACTCAACAAGCAGGAATGACGTTAGAAAATAACAGGACCATTCAAACTTGGGAAAAAAAAATCAAACAAACCAACCGACAACTGTTTTTAAGCCGGAAAAGCAAACTGCACTCACCCTCCCAGGATCTCTTTGCCATCAGTGGACGCAGCCAGTGAGAACACACAGAACCTCCTCTCATCGGGACTACGAAAAAGCCAAGCAGACAGGCAAACGGGTTCATTGACGGCAACCGTGACAACACTTGACTGTACCAGACGCAAAAATCTCAATGCGTCATCCCGTCTTTGAACAATGCTATTTTGAAAAAGGCTGATGATGGCGGCGTGTCGGATGCCAAAGGGGGCCACGGTCGCTTCTGCGACGCACAAAAACAGCAAAATAAAGAAAAGGGATGACCCAGACGGCAACGGAGGGGCGAGTCGACGCGTTGGGCGAGGAGTGCCAAATGACTTGCTTTGAAAAGGTTTCTATGAGGAGTGGGCGGGACTAACTTGAGGTCCAAGGCCGTGTGATTTTCGCTGTCCCCGTCGATACCGCACAGATGAACTGCAGGGGAAACACATACAGACAAATGTTTCGAGAGTCTCACTCAAATGATAAAATGTTGTTTTCAATCAGGTTCCAACCCGGTTCCAAGACCTATTAGCGGTGAGGCGTTTTATTTGTTTGCCACGCCGTCTCCAGCCACTCGGTGAGGAAATACGGCAGGCAAGTACACAGAGCACGCAGAGTCGATTGTCCTTACTGTAGTCCGACCAGCTGGAGTAAAGCACGTGTCGCGCGTCCGGCGTGAAGCAGACGTCCAGAACGCTCCAGCCGACATCCCGAGCCTTGACCGTTTGTCGTAGTAAAAAGCGTCCTCTGCTCGTGTCGTACAAGCGGATGTTCTGATCTGAAGCGGAAAGGATTCTCAAAAGGGATGCTGAAAAATGGCCCCCGGGCCGTAGTTTGGGCATCGCCGCAGTAGACGGTGTTAAAAACGTTTCATGAAACAATTGTGGTCTTTCGGTTTTGGTGTGCTTTGGGAAATTTACCCTGGCAGGCAGAGAGAAACATGTTGCCATCCTCACTGTAGACGCCACAGAAGGCCTTGTGGTGGTATGTAGCCTTCTGAGAGACCGAGTTTGGCAGGAAACTAGGGTGGAAACACAAGGGATGTACGGCGTGATTCCCCTCGAAAACGCACACCAAAAAAAAAAAAAAAAAGCACAGTGGATCTTCAGAACCATTTGATGGTTGGATAACTTCATTTTCCTTTCAATGTTTTCTGTCGTTGTGGGTTGCGTCGTGTTTTCCCATTTTGCACTGACAGCAGAGCAAAGAGGAAAACGGTGATGACGGGCGTAAGAAATACACTCAACAGCATTATTAGGCCATCCAGCGTCAGGCTTGAGGCGAGACCGGTCAAAAACTGGTCTCGCCTAAAGCTCGGATGAGCTGCCAAATGCTCATGAGTGTTTGCACGTGTCACCAATATTGGGGTCTTTTGTTTTTGTGTCAGGGTTCTGTCAAGGTTGCAGAGGGTTTCAAAGTGTTGTTCTTGTCGCAAAGACACTTTGTACATGTTCGAAATGTCTCTGCGACAAGAAAAAACGTTTGCCACAAGTAAGAACTGCGTGCGAACAGTGATGCAACCCTTGAACGAACCCTGAGGAAAAACCAACATTTGCTAGACCTTGGCCGCTCAGTGAGGTTCGGGCTTCACATTCAACCGTCCGAACTTTGTTTATGAATGTAGATTAACATTGGCTTTCAAAAAGCCTCATGAATTGAATGAAGCCTCTTTGCGATGAAACATATCCCGAGTGAAGGTGAAGTTCCAAACGCGCGCCGTGTTCTGTCGGCTTTTTTTTTTTGACGAGCCACTTACTGCGAGCGGATGCGGCTGCACTCTCCGTGGGAAAAGCTGGAGCCTCGACATCTTCCTTGCGCCCTCTAATCAAGACGACAAAAACACACCCACGCACGCACAACACACATGAGTGCGGGACCAACCGCAAGGTGTTCACTGGGCATTTTTATGTTGAGTGAAACCGGAGCCTGCTGGAAGGGAACTCAACTTTAAGTCAAGTGCACAGGACGTTGCCAAAGACAAGATGCCCATTCATATGTTGCAAAATCAGTCGTTTCTCAACATGGGGGGTTTTCCTGCGTTCAAAGCGGCGCGCGGGCGGCTCCAGCTGATTGTGCGCCGCCCCCACCAGGCCGACTGACACAGTGTAAATTCTCCAGCCGTGCCGATTTAGCGATTGACGTCTCTCCGCGGCTCCGTATTTTAACTGCAGTTGCGGCGTTGCGCTCTATCGGCAGCAGTGCGCAGGAAAGACCTGACGTGAATACCGAAGAAGAAACAAATCGAATGGCGTTTCCCCCCACACCCCCCGTTCGTCGGTGCCATTGGCGTCCTGATTCTTCCCTGGCTGATGGAACAAACGGGGCAGTATTTCTATGTCGTGTCAACGGGAGAAGAAACAGAGCTGTTAGCCGGTCACTGACAAGTCGCCCGTTTGGCTGACAAATGGCAGAAGATGAGAAAAAAGAAAGACCGAACACTGACGGAAGTGGGTTTTGGTCCGCCAACGTAAGCGACGATCGGAGAGAGGGAGCGTCGCATGAGAGCTTTGTGACTCACCTCTGTCAGCATGTGCGTGAAACTTGTTTTGCCTCTCAGATCAGACGAAGCAGTAGCCAGCAGGATCTGAGTACGGATCTCACTGCGGTCCACCACATGCGTGTCAGGCTGGGTGTCCACTATCAAGGGAAGACATGAGTCAGAGTTGCGGACAGTCACCCAGAAGATTTCGCGGCGGCTTCTCTCTGGCGAGGTTACCGGGCGGATTGTAGCAGCTGCCCAGCCGACCCTCCCACGCCCCATCGCTGTCCTCATCGGAGTCTGAGTATGACTGGACCAGCTGTAGCCCCGTGGCTCCGCTGCCATGGACCAGTCTGACCTGGCCCCTGCACAGACACAAACCATTGCGAGTCGCCGCGGGGACCTTCACAACGCTGACTGCCTGGCACCCACCGTGTCGCTACTGGTCGACAAGAAACTAGACAACTCGGTACTTCATCTTTGGAGCGGGTGTTATCCCACAACCCGGGGTTGCTCAGGGACTACACGTGATCGAGAGAAACAGACAGAAGGACCGGGTCGTTCTATATATCGGGGGTGTCGAACCTTTTTCGTGGGTTTGTTTTTTAGGGTGGGATCGGGAGATTTGTCGGTAGGCCTATTTGGTGGAGTTGCTTGGGAATGACCTGGCCTCCTGATGGGATCAACGCTCAGAATTCCTTCGCCATGATCAAAACTTACTGTGCTGTCCTTTCCAAAGATCGAGCGCATATGACATCACTACCGGCTTACGTTCAGCAGGGCCCGGTACAATTTTCAAAATCACTTGTTCAGTTGCTAAGTCTGGATCCAAATGTGCCACATTTGAAATTGATTATAAGAGCACCATGAGTTTTTTAACTGCTGCAAAAAAGATCACAAATAAAGTCCAGTATGCCTTTAACTGGCTTCTTTTTTTTTCCCCACTTCACTCAGGCGGCACCACCATCTGAAGCTTGCTTTTGACTCCAACTTTGGCTCGCAAAAGAGAGGAAAAAAAACAATTTAAAAAAAGGATATTTCACAAAATGTGAAGAAGCAACGGGTCCTAAATGGAAAAATCCCTAAACCGGGCCTCGAGAGGTGCCACTGTCATTGTAATATTGCGCCATTATTAAAAAGGCAAGTTGTGAATCTTGACGCGAACATTCGGAAATCTGCAGGCGCCGTGCAACGACGGTAACGATGTCAGTTGCATTGAAACCGGACCCCGAAGAGTTGCTCCTATGTTCAGTGTATGAGAGTCGACAAAATTCACCTCCTCAGTAGGTAAGCCAGCACTTCAGCTAAGTCAACGTCCTCCTCTGAAGCTGACACCGTGTCTCCTTGCTGCCTGCTGCTGCTGCTCTGGTTTTGCTCTTCTGATTCGGACTGATCAACTGGGTTGCCACTGGTAGATCCCCTTCCACCAGACATCCCAGAACTGGACTGAGAGCCCATAGACTGAAGAGCACCTGGCCGGAATAAAGCACTGACATGAACATGACAACTGAGGTCGGAACGGGCATTCAACTACATTTCCTTAATCAACTGCCATTTAAATTGGATTTTAATAGAAATGTATTTATACCACGGTGGCGGAGGGCTGGTATGCACCCTTGACCGCGTCGGGGATCCTTATTTTGAAGGTTTCCCGACCCGGTCAGCTGTTTTTCCAGACACGTCACAAGGAAGCAGTGACAGCTCACACAAAGGCTGAAGTAACAGCCGGGACTGTCAGCTCGGAAAGTTTTTATTCTTCACTTAAAAAAAAAAAAAAAGCCCATTGTCTAATAAATTTCCCCAGTGTGGGACAAATAAAGGTTATCTTATCTTAAAAAAAAAAAACTTCAACCTATTTAAACAATTAAGATGACAAGATGATGGCGGATGAGCAAAATCTAGCGAGCCAGATTGACAGCTACTGTAGAAAGGAAAAATAACAGCTTGGGCATCAATTGGGTAAGCAATCTGAAGGGATATTTCATTATTTTTCTTTTAATTTGTACGGAAATCTAACTTTCTCGACGTTTTTCAAATGGCTCTTTTACAACTCCCAATTAGCTGCAAGAAATTGCTGTTTTGTTTCACGTGTTTATAAAAGAATTGCCACAAGACAGCTGGTACAGGCTCCGGAACGCCCACGACCCTTGTGCGGATAAGCAGTTCGGATAACGGACGGATGGACGTACAGTTATACAATTGAGCCTTTTCAATGTAGCTTATGACGGATCTGCAGGCAGGAAACCCCAAATTGCTGGACTGACATTGCCATAAAGGCCAGAGAGCCAGTTCATTTGGAAGGCAGTTGAACCCAAAGAAGATCTGACGTTTCTAAGATAGTTGTGAGGAACTGTTCTTGTCCGGTGATGAAAGCGTGGTTCAATTAACGACGACGGAGCGACGGACTGGCTGACAGTCCTAAAATGTAATTTAGCAATGGCACCCCCCAAAAAAAGCAGACGGGAAAAGGGTGTACAATGATCCAACATCACGGCCTTGCAGTGGATAAAGCGTCGACGGCAAATAATGTCTCCTGCCTACCTCGAGCTGTAAACAACAAAACAATGTCAAGGCGTACGTCACTTGAATCCAGTGGACAGCAAGCGAATTCGGTACCACTGAAGCTACGCAGCTTGGAGACTGCTAATTTGAGCGAACTGGTTGCGACCATCTCATTTGACATGTTTCGCAAGCATATCCAGGAAGCGGCCCCTGTGCCGTTTGCTTCCCGTGCTCCGCGAGCTGGTCTTCGGGTGAGCTAGCTAGCACCCTTATGCTAACGACTTTGACGTGCACATTACCGTTCGGATGTCCAACGGTCTCCTTGACACCGCTCCGCGGTCGCTAGCCCCGTTGTGTCGCTTCGGTCGAATTCGACATTAAAACGTCTCGTGGTTGACGAAAAATCCCAAGGTCGGCAGCACGGCGCTTCGTCCGTCGGCCAGTCGGTAATACGCCATGTTGTTTACAAAAGTCTACCTCTGGCCCTTGACGTCACACCGCTGGCAACGCCGGGAGGCGACGCACTCGTCAATTATTCTTACCAACTTTTCTCCATTTGACTTAATTCACTTCTTTCATTTGGAAGAGAATAGAATACATTCACCATTCAAGCAGAACCGCTAATCCACGCAAGGATCGTAACATATTAAAGGAGAACATTGTAAGATATTGTCAGGCTAATCATATAACCGCCTAACTCACTGCTTTGCATCAGTCCGATATTTGCAGGCAATGATGGTGCAAAAATGCCCATCTCAAAGCGCCAACCAAATTTTCCATTACATACGAAAATGTAGTTTTGCCTCTGTCGAGTCTGTGCGTTAGGCACTATTTACCCAATTTAATAATGGAGAAAGACACAAGATGAGCTATCGGGTGTGTTATTGGCGTGACAATATAATAACCAAATTGTATTCATATATTATACATGATATACCGTGACATCCTAAGTTTAACATGCAAAAAAAACAGGGTGAAATGCTGAGGTCCACCCCATGTTGAGTCGCGCCTCAAACTGCACTCTGCACCCAGGGCTGCTTGGCCCTGACTGAAGAGTTAGCTTCATTTTGTTGTGCTCTTGCCAAAAGGCCTGAAAATAGGGGGGCCCGTTGGACTGATTTCTCCGACAGGTGACTTGTTTTTGCAATGGTTCTTCAGAGTTGTGCCAGTGGCATCAACAGGTCAGCCGTGGCAGTCCTTCCACAGTTTGAGAATTGTAGTATGTAATGCAGTCTTTTTTTTTTTTTCTTGTGCATATGCAGTAAATATAATCATGCCAGCAGATGGGCGGTAGGATTACCATTACATATACAAAACATATGGCTTTTACGGTATACGTTTCTAGCGAACAACTATAAACAACAATAAAAGCGAGAAAATAATTTATTGGCTTACTTCGAATGCACTGAATTATACATGCAACGATAACTGCCGATGACTCGTCATCGCTGCAAGTTGTCTCCTCCTGGTTGTCTACAAAATGTGTTGACTCAGTAGTCTTGCATAATGTGCTGGGTAGTTTCTTTGAAGGTAAACAGACATTTTCCCATCAACTACTTGATCTCCGGTCACACCTGTGAAGAAAAAGGAAATAAATTGAACTTGGAAGACACAGAGGAGAGGCGGAATGCGGGTTCACAGAAAGAAGAAACCACTGAACTTTGACCTGAATGTGGGGACTTTGAATTTTGGGACTGTGACGGGAAAGTTGATGGACATGACGATTGGGAGAAAGGGAGAAATATTGTGCGTCCAGGAGACCGGGTGGAAAGTGTGTGGGGGGCGGGGGGGGGGCACTGTGTAGTTAGTGCTTGTCATGGAAGGCCGCTATGAAAAGAAGTTAAGAGTAAGTGTTTATTCAACGGTTGTACTGCGAGGGTCGGTAACGGGAAAACGCTTCCAATGTCTCTTATTTGTTACATATGAAGAATTGAAATTTTGCTCCAGATGGGAGCAAGCATCATGGAAGGTGGCATGTTTCATTTGTTTTCGCGGACCACATCAAATGATGTGATGTTTTGAGGACAACGATGGAGAGCGCTTGCTGACTGGGATGGTTTGGACACGTCCAGAGGAGGCATTGTGAAGATATCGGTCGACGGGTGATGAGGAAGTGAGCGAGAGGAAGACCTAAGAGAAGCTCGATGGAGGCAGGGAGAGAGGACACGTAGACAGGTCCTGTTAGAGAGAAGCATGCGGAAGATCAGAGTACCGATATTGAAAAGGTACCACGACACCCCGCCGTCAGAAAGGATACCGACCATAGCACCCATGTACCGTCCCATTATTTTCAAGAGCGACCTCCTACAAAGAGCTGTGTGGAGTTCAACAGACAGCGCGAACAATTCTGCAATCCAAAGGCCCAACGTGCTTGCTCTGAGGACTCTCACTCCCAAAGATCTCTAGAATCAGTTATTCCATCCATTAACCCCTATTTGTAGTCTTTCGCAGGCCTATGCTAACACAGGTAGCACAAATCATCGTTGCAATAACTGCATGAAAAACTTGGGTGACATCAATAGAAAACACCCAGTCGATGGCGAGCCCGTCACATCACCTCAAAACAACCTACGTGGGGCCGTTTTGAACCGTAGACCCGTTCATGCAGGTTTGAAAATGGTGGCAGGTTGAGGCGTTGACAGACCAAATCAAAAGGTTGACACCTCCCCTGGAGCTGAATTTACCGTCGAGACAGTATGATGAACAGAGTGCAAGAATTCAGAGGTATCAGAGTTATCAGCTCTGAGCTCACCCAGCTTCTTTGCGGTCCTTTCAATCTTGTCCAGGGCAGCCTGCACATCTCCTCCCTCCGGTACGAGGACCTCGATCTCTCCTACCCTGTAGCCGAAGTCTGCTTCATCTAGATCTATGTGCACGCCGTCCTCTTCCCAAGTGAATGTCCGCCTCACCGTGGTAAACTCGGCAAAGCAGACCAGATTCATACCAGTGGCCCAACCCTCTTCGAGCACGCACTTCATTTCCGCATTGCCGAGACCACGGGGGTCAGTTAATTTCTGATGGCAGCACTCGCTCATGGCGAACTTGTTTTCACCGGCGTCTTTGAGAACCTCCCTCAGCTTCCGATGAATATCGGCCACGTTGGTCATCTCTTTGTAGCGAGTACATAGCCTGGCCGCTTCTGCTCGTTCTCCTCGTGTCTCTTGTGCCCCTCGGAGGGTGGCGGCTGCACACTTGAGCTCCCAGTGTCCTTTGCGTTGACGCAGCCACACGTCTCTTAAGGTGAGGTCAAATTGTGGGGTGTCAAAGTATCGGTCCTGGAACTGGTCCTGACCGGCACAAACTACACATAAAAAAGGGGACAAAGAGATGAACCGTGGATTCTGATTCAAACAGTAAATCATCTACGCGCCTCATTCCAAAGGATGTGCCCCATTTGTTTGTCTATGTGGCACATCGACACGCCAGCCCAAAAATAAATAAATAAACCATCCTTTCCGCTGCCGTGCACGATGACCACTATTTCAAGGAGCACTTGAGTGTCACTTCTCGGAAGTAGAAGCTATTAACTAGCGTCTATTTTCCCAAGTAACCCGTTTGATTTCACATTTGATTCAGACAACTGACTATAGTCAAGTATGCGTGTCTTTCAAGGATATGTACGCAAGCAGTTGAAAAGCTACTTTTCCATAGTCCCCCTTTAAGTCAGGCAAACGACGGTCAAACATACCTCCAATTTCTTCCAGAGTCTTCAGACTGTTGGCATTGCATACAAACTTTCTCTCCACTTCTACACTCATCTGAAATTAGAAGTATCTACATTCACAACATAGCATGACAACAAATAGATGAACAATCACATCAAACCTGAAGGGTGAAGTCATTATCGACAATAGCCTGTGTATTGTTTTCCTGTTCATCTTGTCCGATTTTTATTTAGAAATGACTTACGTTGCACAAACGCACGCCACAGGTATTACACCGGAATTTGGAATTCCATACAATGTTTTGCAGTTCGGCATTCACGGATTCACCAATCTGGTGATTATTTTTATCCATCTTGTGTTAAGCAGCGACAGTAAAAACACATTGCCTACAATCAGTAAACGCATACTTTGGAAATATTGTAAAACACAACACACTTCCTCGCTGAAAACGTCAACTTGATTTCTACATGATACAGAATGACCAACAGAATGGTGCAGGTTGTTAACTTTACGGAGGAAGGAAGCAAGGAAGGAAGCAAGGAAGGAAGAGGGAAAAGGGAAGCAAAAGACGATGATTGCAAGAATAGTCTGGCTGATGCGTTTGGGTCTGACGCCTCGTTTCAAAACCGTAACCCTTGTTTAAAACCCTAACCCAGGTGAGAAACCTGAACCTGAAACCCAAACTTTGGATGAAAACCCCTTCTTCCAAACCCTTAGCTTGGGTTAAAACCCGAAGCCTTGATTAATACTACCAACATTTAGAAAAACTAATCTCGGAATCGAGATTATAATATGTTCAAAAAGTGTCATTGCCGTTCAATCAGCCTAAATGTGCCTTTTTTTTAATTGACGCAATACCGCACCTACTCTTGCATTACTCTGTAGCCTGTCGGTATTTGAGCAGTTGATGGATACGGATTCGTTATCAGGTGTTCAAAAGCACGTTTCGCTTTCGTGTTGCATTTTAACCCGTAGCTGCTGCACCTGTCCCCTGCAAATCAAACGCCGAGTGCCATTCAAATCCACTCCATCTGCAGATACTTCAGCAAACCACCAACGTTCTCATTATTAGCATTGCACTGCGAACACACCGTTCAAGGTGAAGCCCGTCACTCGCCTCAGAAAAGCCACATGAAAACACGAAGAGACGCCCGCTTTCCGGAAGCCCCCCTACACGTCAGCAAGTCAATTTTTGCACAGGCGCAATTAGGGACAGCTATTAGGGCTTTCAGGACCATCACTTCCTGTCCCAGTAGCGCAGCAGCATGCAAACTGTGCCCATTTTTTCATCTCCTGGGAATTTTGAACAAATGTCTACTCTGTGCGGATGTGTGTTGGACACATGTTTTTTTTTACCCCATCAATAAAGACATAATTGACGCGAGTACCGCCCAAGTCGAGTGGTTATGTCTGTGTCATGTATAATTAATTGATTAATTAATTAACCCACTTTAAAACTATTTGCGCTGGCAGAATGGGAGCGCCTTTTATTTTAAAAAACAGCTTTTAATTACAGTATTTATATGTGCATATGTATTAATTTACAAATATATAACAGTGGTATAACTTAATTACTCACGATTAGTTTTCTTTTTTCCCCTACATCGTTCATTTAAATACCTGTATTTGGATTTTCAATTCATCTGTTATATCTGGGGGTTTGGATGAGGGCTTTGATGGCCGTGTGTGTTTGTGTGTGTCCCTTCTGAATGTCAGCAATCAGGCTTGGGGGGGAGCTGTGGTGTGTTTACTAGGAGAAGGAGAGAGAGCGAATGGAGGGAGGGGGAGAGTGACACCGAGAGAGAGAAGCCGAGAGAGGGAAGGCAGGCAACAAAACTTTTCACTTGTGAGGAACCCACGGAGGAAAGCGTGTGTGTGCGTGCGCGTGTGTGCCTGCTGGAGCGGCGACCATGCAGGTAAAAACGAGAGGCATTTGCTAATTGCGCCGTACTTAATTAAAACGCCAATCTCGATCGTTTCGGGCGGGGGGTGTGGGGGGGGGGGGGTTAGCCTGCGAACGATAGAGGATCGTACCATCGAGCGACGGATTGCGTCGCGAACTAATCCCGATCCTTTTTGGAAATCCAACATTCAATTCCAAACTTTTTCTGACCGCGTTTCCCCTTGCTCTGCTCTCTTTAGACCACCCCCATCGTCGAGGGAGGCGATCGCGACGTAACAGCTTCAACTCGTCGCTTTATTTTTTTCACACCCTCCCCAAAGCGTTTAATTCCTTTCACTAATTACGCTTTTATAAATGTCACCGTAGGACGGACGAGCATGTGTTGCACTTCGGGGTCTTAAAGGTACGGATTGTGGGGGGGAGAGGGGGTGGCATCAAAAGGAGGTCTGGGAGGAGGAGGGAAGGGGAGGCGAGTGTTTTCGAAACACATCTGTAAGCTGAGAACGTTCGTTAATTAAATGGCTTTAGTCAGACTAGGCCTCAATTTGAGCTGTTAAGCAAGCAAGCACGCAGGGGGAGGCGGGCGGATCGCCAATAGATGCCCGACGGGTAAGAAGACGGACTCGAGGGCCGTGTTTTTATTAAGAAGTCAAAGGTATTGTGTTTTCATGTTTAGGGGTGAAGTGGCTGCGGTTGAGGGCCACCTGGATCATGCGGAGTTCGAAAAGGAGGGGGAGCGGGGCGAGAGAGAGAGAGAGAGAGAGAGAGAGAGAGAGGGAAAGAGAGAGAGAGAGAGAGAGAGAGAGAGAAAAAGAGAGAGAGGCTCGCCCCGTTCGGAGCTTAATTATCTCGGCATGCTAACAGGGCTAGGCTAGCGAAGTGACACGACTCGAACTCCCCGTTTTTCGTTTACCGGATTCGCCTGGAACCTCTGCTGCGGTGTGTTTCTCTTACAGTTTCACTCAATGTATTTCGTTTGCTCCTTACTTATTTTTTAGTAAAGTAACCAGAAAGACCTCTGTTATGCTACGTTACAAGACCGGGGCGAGGGAGGGGGGGGGGCTGCTTAGCTAGCTTGCTAGCTAATTGATTCGCTTCTCCAACTAATTGGGACCGGTAATTTAATGAGTCAACTAGTGTCACAGAAAGGCCAATCAAGTTGCATGTGATCTTTTAATCGCAAATTACGCCTTGTGGGGTTTTTGAACACGAGGCTATCTGACGTCTCCGAGTGTTTACTGGTCGTATACCCCAGCTAGCTTGCTAATTGGCGTGACGAGGAAGTGAGGAATTCGAGCAGTGTCGATAGTTCGTTCGCCGCATGGGCCAACTTTCCTTGCGTTTTGTTACATACTGCATTTTTTTCCCCACTGACAACTATTTCTGTGCAGTTCAGTGTGAACAACTATACTTAGCCCCTGAAGAGACTCCATGAAAGATGTTTGGTCGCCCATTGAACTGGACAGACACTTAACAGCACTAGAAACAAATGAATGGCAGTTAAATTTTGGACTTGATTGATGATGTTTACCCCCCTCACCCCTTCCCCAAATCAGTGGTCCACAACTTGAATTGAGACAAGGAAAGGAACAAATTTTAGATTAGACAAATCTCTCAGCCTACTATCAAACAAAAATGTGAGAAGTATACTCAACTAATCATGCCTCGTCCTGGAAGTTCATTTCATTGTTTTGCCTGTTGGTAATAGAACAGAACTAGAAACCTGTGAGTAGTAACCATGTTGTTACAACAATACCTTCCTCGTGCAAAAACCACCAAATTTGATTGCTAACAAAAATCCCTGTAGAAACTGATCTCCTAAATGGACGCACCCAGGATTGCATTGATCAAACTCACAACTGATGCCCACCTCAGAGGGGTGCAATATGGGCAAACATTTATAGCTCATTCAAGGTAGTGTTATATTTCGATAATGATATATCTCCCGATATACTATTGTTCAGACATCAATGGCAGTTTTGTGGGATCTTCTCTGTTCATTGATAAAACAGATATTCCGCCGTACGGGTGGCGCACGCCTCTGTGAATGGGAGCGAACCTCGCCTTTCAAAATTCACTCGCGTCCTATTTCTGCAATAACCTGCGTACAACGGGGGGGATACAAAAGTGTTTGAAAAAATACCGTCAGCACGGTAATGGCACGTGCGATATGCCTATCGCCAAGATGTGCGACCCCTTTCACATGAAATGATAGGACGGAGATATGGGAGGGTGGGGGGGGACACGGCAGTCGAACAAAAGATGAGTGCGCCTCCCTTTCCTGCGTGACCACCTAGTCATTGATTTGTGAGGAAAGGTTGAATGTCAGGACCCCTTGAAAACCGAGGAGCCCACGTGTACGTAAAATAAGTAAGCTGCCAGATATTGAAGATAGTAGTCACGTTAATTACGGTAATACCAACGATGGAAAGTTTGCGCGGCGTCTCATCCCTGTGTCCGTTGTTTCAGTTTACAGGAACCCCATGTTTGGATTTACCATGTCGATGCCAAATTGATGGTTCCCTTTAATGAGCTATTGTGTGTCCATTTTGAGAAGCATTCCAAAGACTGCCAAGACATGACTAACTTAGCAGGAATGTTGCCTGGATTGCGGTGTTAAATCTCCGATGCGGTGATCATATGAAATGATATGAAACCACTTCAGAGTCAACAAGCAAGTTTTGTTTGTTTTTTGTTTTTTTTTTTCAAATGGGTGCTGCCTTTTTAAACGGGCACAAGCGGTGCTCAGGCTTCCCACAAGTGCTTGAAACTCCCCCAAAAGATGCTTGAATTTCTTTGATCCCTTTGGTGTTAACAGCGGCTCTCTTCGTTAAGCACTTGAATCAGATGAGGTAACCTCTCCTTTTGAAATCCAAGTCTATTCATGCAAATGCACAGTTAGCGCCGCCTGGCTTGAAGAACCTGAAATTTGACTACTTCCCCACCAACAAACTTTTTTTTTTTTTTTTTTTAGGAGGAGTCTGGTGAGAAGGCTAACCGTTCCAGCCATGGCACAGCAGCACGGCTGTGCCCTTTGTGCCAAAAAGGCCAAGAAGACCAAGCCTCCCTGTCTCGACACCTCACTGAGCAACACAGCGTACTTCCAACGTGTGTTGACAAACTGTTAGACATTGTAAGTGTGGCCCAGCAATAGTGCCAAACTGGGAGGACATTTTGCTCGCTCGCTCGCTCGCTCGCTGCATATCGATGAGAACGTAGTTGAGCCACTTCTTTTCGTATACAATCCATCATCGGTTTTATAAGCTCTTCATTTTGGGTGGAATCTGACAAGGGTGCTGATTTGACGGTCACGTCACATTTTGGGTGGTTTTGGTTTCCCGCTAATCCTGAATATCATCATCATGTGATTTACGCTGACCGTTTTGACAACTCTCACTTGGTTAACAAAGCGCTCGTAAGCGCTTCAGATGCCGAGAGGGCGCTTTTGCGATTGTGACAACGGTTCGGGTGGCCGAAATGTTCACAAGATTCTAGGCGAGACAAGATGATCTTTTCATTCGAAATGGGCGCAGCGTGTCTCTTTTTTGTGACCGTTTTGCGCTCTCAAAAAGTGGTGGATAAAAGGACTCGGCTATATGCGTGCCTTTAGGCTAATGAGAAAAATTAGAGGCATTCCATAGCCGCTATGTGTAATCAAGCCCCACAGAAATGGGCCACGCCCAAGTGTTGTGGAATTGAAAACACATCTGAACCAGCCGTCACTTTCGGATTATCGTCTGACTCTCTCCTTTGACTCTCTTTTCGACAGTCTGTTTTGAAAGAGGGCGCAAGGGAAGAAGAGAACCGAGGTGCTCCGATATCTTCAGGTAATTGTCGCCTCTCCCCGTTTGATTGACACCTCAAAAGAAATATTTCATGATCTCCTTCAACGGAGCACAATGCTCTGCTTGGAACCAGGTTACCAGCATCTACAAAATAATCACAGACTACCACGGTCCCTTCAAGAGTTGTTTTGAAGTTACAAACGCCACACGGGCAACTAGCTTCCGCAGCGGTGTATGTATACGTCGTCAGGTGACGTGAAAAAAGACTTGTGGCTTTCTTACTGCCAGACTTGGCGACTCTCCTTTTGTTTTGCTTTTAATTTAGGAGCCAAGTCTTTTTGTTGTTCTGATTATTTTGGGCGGTGCTGTAATTATGACTTTACTACTGTGTTAGCTTAGCGATAGACTAACCGTTAACCCGAATCTGTATGGAACACGCTGTAGGAGCGGAACTAAGTCGAAAACCAAGGACCAATCCAATCCGCCCCCGCCCCGATATTGCGATTTGGCATTGTAAACCGCAGTGACTACATTCGGACCATTTCTTAGATTTGTTTGAGTGACAAACTAATTTGGTGGCTTTGTTCCAGCCGCATTCCAAGTTCAAATGTCTTGTGTTGTCTGACCAGTCCGATAGCAATGTGAGACAGTTATTCACTTGTGTGTACCTCTTTTATCCGCCGCAGTTTGTACCCGAGCGAGGCCATCTGAGGACATCAGTTCCCAACTCTGCCAGCCTTGTTCCGACACTCCTCAACAACATCGTGATCAGGAGATGGAAGAAGACAGAATGTTAGACCGGGAGGGTAGCGGAGCTGAACCGGAACCGAAAGATGAGGCAAGTGAAATTCCGGGAGCCAAACAAGGCGCCGCCGAAGACGAAGACCTGGCCGAGAGCAGTCGGCATTCGTCGGACCAGCAGGGCGCGCCTGCGGAAACTCCCCCTCTTTTCAAATGCAACGCCTGCCAGGAAACGTTTCCCAGCCGAACTGCCCTGAGTGTTCACTACCACTCCCCATCCCACTTTCAGAGAATGACAATGACAAACGGTGGAGAAATTGACCCTCCATCTCCTTACGCCCCCGTTCTTTCGCGGCCATTTGTGTCCAACAAACCCTACCAGTGTGCAATATGCCGAGTCTCCTACAATCATTCCATCACCCTCGAGAGCCATATGAAATCCGTCTTGCACCAGACACGCAGCAGAAACGCCGTGAACAACGCCGGCGCGCTCGGGAACTGCGCAGCCAGTCGTGCCAGCAGTCCAAGGACCGCGGCGGGCACGTCAGCCGGCGGAACCGGCCAGGTGGCGAGCGCCGCTAACTGCGCTGCGACCGGCACCGTGATGGCGGCGGCGAGGGACGCGGAGCGCGTCCAAACATCCCAAGTGGCGCCATCCCTCATCGCCCCCCCTGTGGCCTCTGCTCAGGCTGTCTCCGCCTTTCTCACCCTCCTCACGTCCAGCCCGAGCACTCTCTCGCATCCCCTCCTCCCGACCCTGTTTGCACCCGGCCACCCGACTGGCGTGGATGCGTCTCAGATCGTGCCTCAGCACCACATGGTCATGCCGTTGATCTTGAACGGACTCCAAGCCCAGCAAACCCAGCAGTCTCCAGACAACCAGCAAGGACAGCTCCTTACCCAGTGTGTGCCATTTGTAGGTCTCAATGCGGCGCAGCAAGCCCTCCTGACCCAAAGAATTAGTTTGTTACAGAACCAGTGGGCCCCCGTTGCACTTCCGACGAATACACCAGCAGTTGGCGCCAGCGTCAAACAGGAGAACGTGGAAAAGCCGTTGGACCCGATCAAGGCTCGGGATGGCATCAAAACTGAAGAACCCGAGGAAGAGTGCTGTCCCAATAGGGAAAGCAAAGGGCAAGCTGAGAGCACCGAAGACACGAGCAAAACCTCGACCCAGCAGACGCACGCGGAAACGGAGAAATCGGCAAATCCACAACTCGCCCCGGTTGACCTCGAGAAGCGCCTCCCTCACAACCCCTCGGCTTCCCCGTCAATTCCGAGCAACCCAAGCTACAGCCCTGCGCGTTTGAATCTCGCGCTCAGCCCCGATCCCGCTCCTCAAAAATCCCAGAGAGCAACCAGTCCCTGCGGATCTCCGGGCACCCCCAAATCCAGCCCGGTTTCAAATGCCTTAAGCGACCCATATCGGCTACGTTGCGATACCGTGGATTCTGTTTGTTCGGAACTTCCGGTGCTGTCAGAGTTTCAGTCTGAGGTCCTTTGGGCTTTCTTTGAGTCGCGAAGTGAGGCCGATGCTGCTAGTCCCGCCCGCGAGGACTGCGAGGCGCTGGGCAGAGAGGTCGGGCTTTCCGAGGAGGAGGTACGGACGTGGCTTGGCCGAGCCAGACAGGCCAAACGGAGACAGAGAGGCACAGAGCTCACGCACCCGCGCGGCTCATCGGGAGTGGCAAGGAACGCGCAAAGCAGTGACAATGACTTTGATGACGAGGAAAGCTCCTTGATTATAGCAGAGGAGGAGGGCGAAGAGCTAGAGGAGGAGGAGGAGGCTGACACGACCGCTGGCCAGGCCATTGATTTGTCTCGCACAAGAGGGCAGCGGAGGCCAAGAAGTGTCGGGAGAGAGGCTCGGGGAGATTCCTGTCTGACGTCCGACTCCGAAAACGAGGTGTACACCTCTGTGATTGTGACGGACGAGGAAAGTCAGAACGGAGGTTCTCGGGAGGCCCCGGACAGCGCCGCCAAAGACGAGGTGCAAAATGAGGTTGATGGTGATCATAAAGGCTCAAGCGGGGGCAAAGTCCTGCGCTCCACAACAGTCTTTCTCTCTGACGCGGAGGACGAATATGACGATGAGGATGGCGGCGGGGCTCCCAGGTCCGGGAGGAAGAAACGGAAGGCAGAATTTGAACATGAGGTGGAGGTGAAAAGGGAGAGACTGGATCCGGATGTGGACCTGGAGTTGGAAGCCCAAGGGGATCCCCCAAGCTCGCTGCCCTACTCGCTCGATCAGATTCCATGTGGCGCTTTGCGCTCACTCCCCCTTTCTCTGGCCCCCTTCTCTGCTCAGTTCCTCAACCCCTACGTCCTCTCACTAGCGCCTTCATTAGTCGGAGTCGGGAGCAAAGGGCCGTGCTTTTCAAACGCGTCCTCGACGGCGCCTTTCCCCGCGACTCTGCTTTCCCAATCGCCCTCTCCCAGAAGCCACTCCTCTCAGTACTTGTCCAACGGCGGTGACTGCGAGACGGCGCTGGACCTCAGTATGGGGAAAAACACGTCGTCCTCGTCGCTGGTCGACAGCATTTCGTCAACGCCGAAAGGCCGGTTGCTGGACGGACTTGGCCTGAGGCCCACCTCTGAGGGCCTGGTGGTGGTTCAGGTGAAACCCGACTCTCTTGCCGCCGCGCCTTCTTCGTACGCTCGCGTGAATCCGCTCAACAGCAATAACCTGACAAAGCCCAGGATGTACACCACGCCCGACGAGCAAAAGAACGTCGCGCTGTGCGACCATGACCACGTCGGAGAGAAGGACAAGGAGCAAGAGCAACAGCAGAGGAAGGCCAAAGGGAAACGGTACCGCGACATGCGGCGCTCCAGGACCATCATCCAAGCGGAGCAACTTGACATCCTCTACGGATGCTATTTCAAAGATCCCAACCCCGGAAAACACGAGTTTGAACAAATCTCAGAATGGGTCCACCTTCCCAAAAAAGTGGTTCAGATCTGGTTCCAGAACATGCGGGCCCGGGAGCGCAAAGGCGAGGTCCGCTTCATCAGCGACGGCACCCTGGCAGCCGTCGGCAAACCGCTCATCAAGTTCACCTGGCCGCTCTCCAAGCCTATCTTTTCAAACAAGGCCGTCGAAAACAACGCCGGCTACATCGCAACCGCTCCAATTGTGCGCACCCTCATCAAGACCGAGGGTAAGCCCGTGATGGTGAAAAAAAGCACCCCCGTTCCAATCAAGCCCAAGGAAGTGGCTCCCGCCGTGCCAAAGACCAAGCTTGAAAGCACCGTGGTCAAAGTGGCATCGGGCGGTGCCCCGACCCTTTTGACAACTCTCAAGGAGCCCGTTCCCATCGCCCCTCGACTGAATCGGCAGAAGAAATGTGAGGAGGCGGACGAGGACGACGAGGAGGAGGAGAGCGAGGAGGACAAAACTGACGAGGAGCTGGACGGCGAGAACCAGGCGGCACCTCGGACCGTGAACCGTATGGTGCCCAAGCTGCCCGTCGCGCCCATCGAGAGCGGGCCTCCTCCCGCGGCCATCTTGCCCCAGAAACCAAACGGCCTGAGCTACTGGAACCCCAAAGCCTCGATCAGGATCAACACTCTGTCACGAGAGCAACTGGCTCTTCCCGCTCACTTGCCTCCTCGCACCATCCCGCCTCCTCCCACCCCGAGCATAGCGCCGGTCAGCCCCAACGGCCCCAACTCGGCCAAGGCGGCCCGCTCATCCGCCCCCGTCCTTGGCAAATCAAGCGCGGCGGAAAACAACTTCCTGGCCCATTCTTCCAGCCGTCGGCCTCGCACGCACTTGTCCTGCCTGCAGCTCTCCATCCTGCAGTCCTGCTACGAGACCTGCGCCCACCCCAACGCCTTGGAGTGCGAGGCCATCGGCGCAGAACTGAACCTCCCCCTCAAGGTGGTGCAGATCTGGTTCCAGAACACGAGAGCCAAGGAGAAGCGCTGGAGGCTGCAGCAAGAAAAACTGGTGAGCCTTGTTTTAATAAGAACTCTTTGCAAGCTATGGGGAGAACGGCACGGGTGGGCGGCGTGTGTTGGGCAAAGCTCTCGGATGTCGTCAAATCGAGGGCTTGGCGAGCACACTGGATTGGACGGAATGGCTTGTTTCACTCTCGAAATCCGGACTGTTTGGGGGAAAAAAAACAAAAGCATCAATCATATAGGGCGGCAGAATCACGTCTTGACACATGCAATTTAAAATAAAAAAAAGGAACGCTGTTGAAATGTTGGATAAAAAACAAACATCCGTTGAGAAACCTCAAATAGACTCATGACAGTTGTGTATGTTTATCTATCTACCTCTCCATGGTGAGATATCCATCCAGCCATAATCTCAAAGGTTTTGATATTCTCATCAGCTAATCATTGAAATCCCCCCTCCCCCGACTCCATCACAAGCAGCGATGACATGGTCGTTTTGGGGGAAGCGTTTTTGGTCTCTGTTTTGCTCCTTTTGCAACATGTGGTGGTGTCCCTGCCGCTCCCCTCTGGGGCAGAGGTGCTGCTGAGCAAAGTCTGCCATCCTGCGGCCGCTAATGGTATGACATTTTTCAGTGGCTCGGCTGGCCCGCCTGCGGTGACCCCGGTCATCTCGGCGATGTTCCCAAATTTGATTTCTCTGCCTCCTTTGGAACGCGCAGCGTAACAGTAGGCCGAACCTCCACGCGGCGGGGGAACGCCGCATGCCGCGCAGTCGGACGGCCCCCATTCTAAACGCTTTCTTTTCTCTTCCCCCCCGCACGCCGCCAGGGTCCTCAAGCCGGCGGGAAGGCGTCGATGAGCTCGGGAAGTTACCTGCAGTACAACGCTCTCAAAGCCAACCGTCCCATCCTGCCCAAACCCGTTCAGCTCACCATCACGGAATCTCCCGCCTCCCCGGCGAGCGGCCAGTCGGCGCCCGGCGAGACGCTGACGGGCTGCTGCGACGTCTGCAAGGTCTCCTTCGAATCGCGGGCGGCGGCGCGGGCCCACGTCTTCTCGTCACTCCACCTGGCCAAGCTGCGCACCACTAACTTTGGCCAGCCCGCCGCGCTGGTCAACAAGAACGGAACTGGCAACGGAGCTTCGGGCGGGGTCAACCTCAGCTTGCAGGTCTGCCGTTCGTCCACGGTCACCGGCTCCGGCTCCGGCGGCGTGGTCGTCATTGAGTTGCCTCCACCTCCGGCTACCAGCAACAGTTAAGAAAACGAGAGAGAGAGAGAGAGAAAATCAGATCAGGATTGGTTTGCAACACTGACTGTTTGGACCCATTTGGGCTCCTCCACATTTGAGCACTATTCCTCACCACCTAACTTCATTGTTTTTGCTTTTGAAGTTGGCTTTTTTTTGCCCTCAACACCCGGTTTCCAATTTTCAACCTTTTTGATGACTCGAATGGACACGTTCATCCAGTTGGACCCCAAACCGTTCTCATGCTGCTGCTGCTGATCGCATCAGTTTGCCACCGCGTGAGTGATGGATCGTGCTTCTTGAAATGGTCTCAACCCCTTTTTAATGTCAACGACAAAACTCTAAAGGGAGTGACTTCCCAGGCGTGAACCGAAGAGACCGGCGCAAAAGGTTTTTCTGCGCCAGGTCACTATTTGGGAAAACATGGAATACTCCCAGTCAGAACTCGTACGTCGCCCCTTCCTGTGGAATCTTTTTTTTTTTTTTCTGGGGCAGGGAACGCTCTCACCTCCACAGCAAAGGTTGCTTGCGTATGACATGAATGGACTGAACAAATGTGATGCATGTTGACTTGTCGCTTTTATTCATTTGTGATCTGCCGAGTGTTGCGTGTACATCGTTTGGGATAAAATAGAGGTACTTAAACGAGAATAGGGCTTTTCAACCCCCCCCCCCCCATTCCCATGTTTATAGTCATGACAATCCAGACAAAAAAAAAAGTTTTAGAAATTGCGAGGAATCTTGGCATACCGCACTTTGACGCATATTATATTGTTTGAAATGTTTTGAAGCATTCTAACGCCGGTGTCTTTTTATGGAAAGATTGGCTCATGCATGTTGGATGCCTTAATATCATTTTTTTTTTTTCCTTGCTCGTCTCTTAAGTCACGCTTTAGGTGTGCGCATAATATTGCGCAAGAAGCAAAGCTAGCGGGGTCTGGAAGTGAAACCGAGCGCCGTCCCCGGTCGCTTTTACAATTGGGGAAAGGCGGGCGGCGGGGGCTATTTGAATGTCCTTCCGGTGACCTAACTTGAGCAAATCCCGCCGAGCTTTTCTCAGCCGAGGACTAAACAACGGCCGACTCGTGCGGTGTCGCGTGAAAACGAAGCCCACTGTCGTGACAGGTCACGCACAAACACAAGCCACGAGAATGTCGGGCTTTGGGCTGAAATTTGGGGAAGAACCGAAAAGGTGAACTTGAATTTCGAAACTTTTGCCTGCACGCGTTCAGCGGCTCAGTATTTTTCGCACAGCTCGGCCTTTTGTTCCATGGAGATGAACGGCAGGTGGTCATCGGGGAATAATTGACCCGGCCGGCTCAGTTCAACTTTGGTCTTTGGCCGATGGTCTTGATTCGGGCCGTTCGCCTTTTTGACATCACGAGGCCGAGACGACACCAAGAGCCGGCCGGACTTTGACCAAATGGCCCTCGGCGTCTGGCTCATCAAGAAGAGTCCGAGAGAAGCCGGCCGGCCGGCATTTTTCATTTCACGGCTCTTCAGCTTCTTGACGGAGCCGAAGGTTGAGCGAGACGTGCCCAACAGCTGCCGCGCACGACGGCCCCTCCAGAGCTGAGAGCGCAAATTCAGTGTTGATGTCTTCGGTTCGTTTCACCTGAAGTCCTCTGCTATTTTTGGGCCCGGGGTGTCTCCAAAGTCAGAAACGGCCTCACAGCCTCAATTCCTTTTTGGCAGAAATCCACCATTGGCGCGGAAGGTAACGGCACGAGCCGAGTGCTTGTCAAAAGCCCCGCCGCCACTTCCTCTTCACTTCCTCTAATACTGGCGATGCGCATGCTGTGAAAACGGGACGCGATAGGTGTGCGAAGCAAACAAGGGAGGAAATTGGCTTTGGCTGATATCCCCAAGGCCACTCGCGGAGATTCCATTCTTGCAATGTTTCCTTTTTACCGAGAGCTAACTACGATTGGTGCTGTGTTGAAGGACACGCGTGAGACTCACTCAAGAGCTTTTTCCTTCCATTTGAATTTGTATATGAATGCTATAGTTTTGACTAAAATGCAAAACTAAAATGATCTTTTTGTAAAGGATATATATTAGAAAGAAGTGATATTCCAAAGTAATCTTTTTTTTTCCCTGTCATTTAAAAAAAAATAAAAATGTTTAAAAAAAAAAAACAACCACAACAACAACCAAAAAGCAATCAAGAGGTGTTCACAGATGCAAACTGTAAAGGACATCCCACAGCTTGACTCTTGCACTAGTTCACTATATTTGCACAAGTTACAGACATTTCAAAAAAACGAACGCAGCCATGGATGCAACATTACAAGTGAATCGGAGTGTGTGCGTCTGTGTGTGTGAGTGTTCTTTCGTGACTTTGAAAAGGCGTCGGGAATCATCTTGTATGCGAGTGCTCGGATGTCAAGACTGGGAAAACACACACAGGCAAACAGATGCGGTGTTGCACTGTCCAAATGAAATTGCTTTTTATGGAGATCTGCTTTTATTATCTTACATTTCATTGTCAATTTGATTATCACTATTGTTATAACTGTACTACTACTTATTCAATTTGCTACTCATGCTGTTTTGAGTTATTATTGATTCATTCTTGTTTTCGTGCCACCTCTCTGCTCAGACTGAGGATGGGATTCCTCTGAATATTGAACAATAATAGTGGCAGTGTTATGTATTGTTAGACCTCGGATTTTTTTTTCCCCTCTCCCCAATGTACCTTGCCTTCTTTCTGTGTTTGGTCTCCATTATGTTTTCTTTGATATACTGGACAATAAAATCAGTTCAACATGGCAAAATACGGTGGAACCGGTTTTATTTGGAATATACATGTGGTTCTTATGAAAGCTTAAGATCAAATACAGGCAAAAAAAAAAGAGATATCACTCCTTTCAAAAGGGAGGTTTGATTTTTGCCATCCTAAAAAAAATCGCAAAGCTTGACCTGAACAAAAAGATCAGCATGCCAACGCTTAGTGTAGTGACATTTTCACGCACTGCATGGTAAAAACAACATTAAAAGGGGGTGGGCACGTGACTGGTGCCGCCACAACCCCAAATTATTTAGCATTGTACTAAATCACGAGTGCCCGACCGGTAGCCCGTCGACTGGTCACCAGTCCATCGCCAGGGGTGCACCGGAAAATTTTGTCTGTGCGCGTTATTAATAAGAGATATTTTCGTGTTGGCGCACGCCTCACCTTAAGCATACTACCCGTTTCACGTTGACAAAAAAAAAAAAGTATTTTTAAAAAATGAAATCAAGAAAGCAGGTTACATAGAACCCACGGTGACCCATGCTCTGCATCACCGGAAGTTGTTAGCAATCTGCAATTGCAGCTCGCCACAGACAATATAACGTTATTTGATGATTCTCATGCGACCTTTGTCTCATGTCAGCGATGGCACCGGCAAAGAACGGCAATGCGAAGCGCCAGGAGATGCATTTTCAAACGCATCTCGTACGTACGATGAGTTCTGCGCTTAACACGTACTAAAGTGCGGCGCTCGCCTCCGCTTCCGGTCTGCGCCAAGGTGGGCGGGTCCCTCGGTCACGTGACTTTCCGGCTCGACGCGCACGGCCCTCGAGGAGACGTCACATTCAACTGGCACGCACCTCGAACCCAGAGTTGGCAATCTAGCGACTTTCTCGCTACATCGAGCGAGTTTTCAGACCCCCTCGAGCGACTCTTTTTCCCAAAAAGCGACAAAGGACAAACCTAACGACTTTTTTTTTCCCGGCGTTATCGACGACTCTGACGTGAAAGCGCGTCGCGTTCTTACCGTTGTCGACGTGCAGCGGGCGATTACGTCAGACTCTCCCGTCCGGAGCGCTCACAGGGTCTGAAAAACCAATTAAAAAAACAAATCAATGAAACTGAATAAGGGCCTAGTATCAGTGACCATCATTTTCTCAACTGCCAGTGTTCTATTGCCTCTTTAGGGTTTGATTGTTCATGTGGATTGCATAGAAAAAAATGAAGGTTAAAATGTTTCCATCCGACCAAACTTGAAGAATTAAAAAAAGAACAATGTATTGTGTTTCTATTGAGTGTTTTTTGCCGGTCCCAAGCCCGGATCAAAGAGGAGGGTTGGAATTGTGACAGTAAAATGAGTCAAAGAAACAAGAATCAATGCGTAAAGTTCGTTTGCAGTTCCACTCGACGCGCACGGCCCTCGAGGAGACGTCACATTCTCCTGGCACGCACCTCGAACCCAGAGTCGGCAATCTAGCGAGTTTTCAGACCCCCTCGAGCGACTCTTTTTCCCAAAAAGCGACAAAGGACAAACCTAACGACTTTTTTTTTCCCGGCGTTATCGACGACTCTGACGTGAAAGCGCGTCGCGTTCTTACCGTTGTCGACGTGCAGCGGGCGATTCCGTCAGACTCTCCCGTCCGGAGCGCTCACAGGGTCTGAAAAACCAATTAAAAAAACAAATCAATGAAACTGAATAAGGGCCTAGTATCAGTGACCATCATTTTCTCAACTGCCAGTGTTCTATTGCCTCTTTAGGGTTTGATTGTTCATGTGGATTGCATAGAAAAAAATGAAGGTTAAAATGTTTCCATCCGACCAAACTTGAAGAATTAAAAAAAGAACAATGTATTGTGTTTCTATTGAGTGTTTTTTGCCGGTCCCAAGCCCGGATCAAAGAGGAGGGTTGGAATTGTGACAGTAAAATGAGTCAAAGAAACAAGAATCAATGCGTAAAGTTCGTTTGCAGTTCCAACCAGGTTTGGGGTGTGTTTCTTAACCCCCGACTCACCTTTCGTCTTTTGCTGCGACGTGATTCCTCTCCGACGGCGTCCGCGGACCTCGAGCGACTCCTTTTCCCAAAAAGCGACAAAGGACAAACCTAACGACTTTTTTTTTCCGGCGTTATCGGCGACTCTGACGTGAAAGCGCGTCGCGTCCTTACCGTTGTCGACGTGCAGCGGGCGATTACGTCAGACTCTCCCGTCCGGAGCGCTCACAGGGTCTGAAAAACCAATTAAAAAAACAAATCAATGAAACTGAATAAGGGCCTAGTATCAGTGACCATCATTTTCTCAACTGCCAGTGTTCTATTGCCTCTTTAGGGTTTGATTGTTCATGTGGATTGCATAGAAAAAAATGAAGGTTAAAATGTTTCCATCCGACCAAACTTGAAGAATTAAAAAAAGAACAATGTATTGTGTTTCTATTGAGTGTTTTTTGCCGGTCCCAAGCCCGGATCAAAGAGGAGGGTTGGAATTGTGACAGTAAAATGAGTCAAAGAAACAAGAATCAATGCGTAAAGTTCGTTTGCAGTTCCAACCAGGTTTGGGGTGTGTTTCTTAACCCCCGACTCACCTTTCGTCTTTTGCTGCGACGTGATTCCTCTCCGACGGCGTCCGCGGAAGCATGCGCACGGCCGGCCAACGATGCAAATGGGGCGACGGCGTCCTTGAGCGATTTGTAGCACATCCAAGAGCTCCTTTCCTTCCCGGGCACTTGGCAAGGTTGCCATCACGAGGCATTAACTGGTTTGCGACTGAGCCTCGTAGGGGGAGGACGGGGTGCTTCCAGGAGGGATTACATGGGAGCGCTCACAGGGTCTGAAAAACCAATTAAAAAAACAAATCAATGAAACTGAATAAGGGCCTAGTATCAGTGACCATCATTTTCTCAACTGCCAGTGTTCTATTGCCTCTTTAGGGTTTGATTGTTCATGTGGATTGCATAGAAAAAAATGAAGGTTAAAATGTTTCAATCCGACCAAATTTGAAGAGTTAAAAAAAAGAACTGCGCCGGAATGTTTCTATTGAGTGACTTTTGCCGGTCCCAAGCCCGGATCAAGGAGGAGGGTTGGAATTGTGACAGTAAAAAGAGTCAAAGAAACAAGAATCAATGCGTAAAGTTCGTTTGTAGTTCCAACCAGGTTTGGGGTGTGTTTTTTTTAACCCCCGACTCACCTTTTGTCTTTTGCCGCGACGTGATTCCTCTCCGACGGCGTCCGCGGCAGCATGCGCACGGCCGGCCAACGATGCAAATGGGGCGACGGCGTCCTTGAGCGATTTGTAGCACATCCAAGAGCTCCTTTCCTTCCCGGGCACTTGGCAAGGTTGCCATCACGAGGCATTAACTGGTTTGCGACTGAGCTTCGTAGGGGTTGGACGGGGTGCTTGCAGGAGGGATTACAGTTATATTTGTATTTTTTTTTTTTGGAACACTATATACATTAAGTTTTAGACCATTAG